ATTTGTATTCGGAACATACGTACATACATACAGACAGACAGACATACAGACAGACATACAGACAGACAGACAAACAGACATTCAGCTTTATATATATAAGATAACTGTCATTTTTTGGTAACATAAAATTTTGCCTATTTATATTTAATAGTAGAGGCTCAAGGCTATCTTCTCACGAAAAAATCTTAGCTGAATAGCTGTTATGTGAATTGTTATGAAGCTCCGAATTTGCATGACAAAACGAACTTATTTATTAGCCAACCTAATAGCATGTATTGAGCTGGATCTTGTGTTATATTCTACTTTTATGAGGAATTCTTCATGTTTCATTTCTCATTATTAAATTTAAAATAGATAGTAGCCTCATAGGAGCAAACATAAGTGGAGCATAAATGTAGTGATTCCATACGACCCAGCAATATGAGAGTTAGTGGCAATGACAAGGCAATGACATATCTGAGTCCACTGGAGGCGAATTATATGACTACACCATCAGCTTCTTAGGCCCGTATGCACGTACATCCTCGTGGGGAGGGGAGGGGATCTGAGAGGAGAAGCGTCATATCTCGCTAGTCTATGTATCTTTCTTCTTCTTTCTCTGTCTTGCTATTGAAGGTTCTTATACACTGATACTTGCGCATAACGGATGCCAGGTTACTGCCATACAAGATTAACTATTCACTATTTACTCTGATCCCCTGAGGATCCCCAGGGGATCACCTCACATGTTCAAAGTTATTTATCTTACTGAAAACTCGATGAAAATGCTCTGTAATTGTACTCAGGATATAACAGCACTGCTAAATATGTTATGGTAGAAATGAGTGAAATCTTAAGATATCAAAATCTTCGATGAACCGCTGCTCGCGAGCCAGGGATTATCGAAAAATCAAAATCTTTAGATTCCATCTCTTCTGTCGAAAACATGCTCAGCAGTATTCGTAATATATCTTAAGTACAATATTACAGCGTTTTCATTGATTTTTCATAAAGATAAATGGCTTTGAAAATGTGAGGTGATCCCCTGGGAATCCCCAGGGGTCGGAAAAAATAGTAAATGTTTTATCTTGTGTAGCCGTAATCTGGCATCCATTATGCGCAAATATGAGGGTATGAGAACCTTTATAAGCAAGATCAAGAAGAAGGAAGAAAGATATCTAGAATAGCGAGATATGGCACTTCCCTTCTCAGATCCCCTCTCCTCCCCGCGGGGATGTATTAGGTTGTCCGGAAATTAATGCAGGTTTTGAATTCCAACCGCAATAAGTCATACACTTCTCATTTCTAAGTAGGTTGCAAAGCACAATTCAATAAAGCAAAGCAAGCTCTATAAGACGGCAATCTTGATTTAGCAACAGCTCTAATCCACCACGAGTTTCGAGCCTAAAACTAAAAAGATTCAACTACCAAAAAAATTGAGAAAAATCGTGATTCAGTCCATAAAAATCCTACAAAAATTCTAACTCGCTCACGTAAACACTGTCCGCATAAGACGTATATGTACGCCGTTGCCGCATTTTTTTCACGGTTAGAAACCAAGAAAACGAAGATTTTCATGTTTCTGCCAAAGTGATCCTGTGCCTTTTCCACATAAATAGTTGTATACTACAAACCGGTTGAAGTATAGACGTAAATTTCCAGCTCTCTACAAGCTTTAGTTCTGAAGAAATTTGAGTTTCAGCTTGAACCACATGACTAGGAAAACTGTATTCGATATTTCTCGAGAACTAAAGCTTGTAGAATGCTGAAAATTTAAGTCTGTACTTCTACAGGTAGTATACAACAACTTAAGTGGGAACGGCACAGCATAACTTTGGCAGAATCATGAAAATCTTCGTTTTCTTGGTTTCTAACCGAGAAAAACATACGGCAACTGCGTACATATACGTCTTATACGGATAGTGTTTACGTGAACAAGTTAGAATTTTTGTAGGATTCTTATGAACTGAGTTACGATTTTTTTCAATTATTCAGGCAGTTGAATCTTTTTAGTTTTTGGCTCGAAACTGTGGTGGATCAGAGCTGTTGCTAAATCAAGATTGCCATCTTGTAGAGCTTGCTTTGCTTTATTGATTTGTGCTTTGCAACCTATTTAGAAATGAGAAGTGTATGACTTATTGCGGTTGGAATTCAAAACCTGCATTGATTTCCGGACAACCTAATACGTGCATACGGGCCTTAATAGCCAATCTATAGTTGACTTTTATTACTTCATATCTCTTCATTTTCATGGAGTATGTCTCTCCAGTTTATCTCAATGTTTTCCCATGTCCACCTCTAAAATCCTAATTTGATGGTTTTAGATTGCACTCATGACTTGCTCATGCAGGAGAGACGGACTTTGCTTTTAAAGCTATTTGCAGCCTGTAAAAATATGTAGATTCAAACAAAAGCAGCTGTTTGCAGCTCGAAGCAGCTGAGATAAGCTCAGAAAAAGTGAGCGTAACTCAGCTGCAAAATCTAGTGCAGCGCTGATCAGCGCTGATCGGCACGAGCAGCGCTGCTCAAAAATGAGTCGCTAGGTATGAACATGACCGTTTGCGTTAGCTGCTGCAGCGTGAGGCAGCAGCGTCACTCCGCTGCAGTCGATACGCATCAAATACGTTGCTGCCACCGCTACGTATAGACACTCTACGCTAGGTATGTAACAAGCCTAAGGCCTCTTAATTCACCTTTTGATGCTTAAGTTCTTTGCATTTCTCACTTTCGTGAATTGCGATATTATGCACACACATCATAACCGATTATTCATTAGATGCCTTGGCAGGCAAAACGAACTTATTATGAGCACATTAGTTAAGAATGGATAGTAAAGGCACGAAGTATGAATCACAAATGGGGGGGGGGGGTTACGACAGGCTAAAAAATCAGTACGGATACGTCATCATTACCTTAGTTTCAGGACAGATGGAAAGGCATAAATGAAAACTTGAATATAACTACATGGCACAGAAACAACAGTCATCTGGATCAATTAGATTAGAAAGCCAACAAATTTTTGCACTTTTTTCGGGGTTTTCGGCTGGATTGGCATCTAAAGTATTATTCTCCGTCGGCCATATGTAGCATTGTCAATAAATTAATGTAAAACATTCTCAAGCACAGTCCGAATAGGCAGATGGCAGTGGCGCACTCAGGATCTCCGATTCCCCTTCGGGGAGGGAAACGAAACCTTTTTTAATAAGGTGCATGAAGTTCCGATAGTTTTTTTACAAGACTTCGAATTCCTGAAAATTATCTTGAATATTTACACGTATGTGCAAGTCACTTGCAAATTTTTCAAAGTCATGTATTATTTACCAGTGCGTCACCTCTGCTTCGCAGAGGCTCGCACTGGTCCTACTCTATATGCCTTACTCGTTCTCACTTAATTATGGCTTTGAAACTCACCGCGCAATGCCGACTATCACGAATAAAATGTAAACAACCACTCATTTCAAAAGCTTTTTCATTTGAGATTGGTGATTTCGCGTGGATGGAACTCTTTACAAAAGAACAAATGCAACAAAATTTTGATAGGTTTTGAAACTTATTCTGGCTTGGTAGGCCATAAGGACAACATTCACCATGAGCGGACAACATTCACCATGAGCAACATCTAATCTACGCAAAAATCTTCTTAAATGCTCAGGTAAAACCATGGCGGATTGACCATTTGCGCAACCATTTCTTTTTGGCGTCGCCTTCGTAAAGTAGTAGACGTTCACTTTCTGGTCTAAAGTCCATGATTTGCACATCAGCATGTCAAACACATCCACGACTTTGCAAAAAGCTTGATACGGACCCAATTTTGCGGGCTAGAAGTCAAGTGGATCCGCCCGACGCGCAAATTTTGAGGGACCGAATCAACAAATCCGCTCCTGCTTTTGCATGGTGAAGTTCTACGCTGGTGGCATGCGCTCTGCAAAATTTGGGCTCAGGACGTTGGCTGGAACTCGCTCTATGAATTTCGTTACAGACAGACACACAGATATACACACAAAAACACGTAAACAACCTTAGCCCGTTATTATAAGGTTTTGATTCTCTGACTTGGAGACATGAGCACCCTTTGCATACGTTTAATCAGCAAGTTCATGGGTGCGTTTTACGCCCGTATGCACGTACAGTGTTTGAGGGAGGGGAGGGGGGGGGGGGATTTGTGTGGGAGAGCGTTTATATCTCGCTACTCTAAGGGCCGCATGCACTAACCTCCCCCTGGGGAGGGGAATGCAGCTTAAAAGAAAGTTTCATATTCTGAAGCTCCAGCTATCTGGATTTTACGTTGTATACCTATCCGTAAATAATCCTACTACCCTTCACTGTGAACATGTTGAACACGAGCGAGAAGCTGTACAAACCGCAATTTCCAGCTTTTGTATGATCCCTGATGATCCCCGGCGCTTCTTCAAAGTCATTTTTCTTTCTCCGAAGTTAACGAAAACCTTCCAAAGTTGTACTGAACATCTAACACAACAGTGCTAAGCATGTTGCTGATGAGAACAAATGAGTTTTTTAAAAGTCGAATTTTTCGGTAACAGCAACATGCTTAGCACTGTCGGGTTAGACAATCTGCACAACTTTGGAGGTTTTTCGTTAACTTCGGAGAAAGAAAAATGACTTTAAAGAAAAGCGCCGGGGATTATCAGGGATCATACAAAAGCTGGAAAATGCCGTTTGTACAGCTTCTCGCTCCTGTTCAACATGTTCATAGTGAAGGGTGGTAGGAATACTTACGGATAGGTACACAACGTGAAGGTATCTGGAGTTTCGAAATATAAAGCTTTCTTTTAAGCTGCGATCCCCTCCCCGCGGGGGTGTTAGTGCATGCGGCCCTAAGTCTGTATCATTTTTTTCTAAATAAGGTAAGACGACTCTACTATATACGACACAGAAAAGCGCACAAATTACCCTTTAACTTAGTTGTAGTTTTTGGTCTGTATCAATAGTAGTGAAAACTGCCTAGAGTGTAAGATAGAGAGATAGTGTAGAGAGAGAATTGTTCACATTGTTGATTCCAGAGCCATGTCATTGATACGCGAGCAAATACTCTTCTCTATCGCAGTGATTTTTTCCCCGGATTAGGATGGATGATGACCAGGTGCTTCATATTGATTTACATCTTTGTATTTTCTTCAGAAATCTGATTGATAATTGTGGTAGTCTAGAAAGATCTGGAATGAGTTGAGTCCGAAATGGCCTGCAGGATTCTGGGATGACTGGATGAGAGAACCCGAGAATAGAAAAGTGCTTATTTTTTAACGAAATCTTGCAAACATAAAAAGTCTGTCATAGGGACGCCATTGCATTAGACCGGAAATTAGTCGCACGAAGATGACTGCACTTGGAAAGAAGGGCGCTAGCAAGTGCGTACTCATGATCCGTTTTACATTGCTAATGTGCAAAATCCAGAGGCCAGTTCTTCGACAAACACGTCGCGAAAGTCATTCTAAACAAAGCTCCCGTCACGTTTACTCTTATGAATCTGGACTATCTTCTTAATGTAAGCTTTCGATACACTTTTAGTTTTTGAAGTACATAGAGCTTCTAACTGAAATCAGAGTATTGGATGATTTACAGCCGACTTATGATCTCGAGTTTGACCGAATGGTGAATAACAGTCCTCTCGTTGACATCAGCGAAGTGAATGCTACTTTAGCCAAGAAAGAGTATAAAAGTTTGAGGTAAGTACTAGCGGCCCAGCTACTTACAGATGATTTGCATCTGGGACCGCGTAATTCTACATAAACTCTCTTTTTGAAGTATGATTGAGCTGTAAAAATTTTTTCACGTGAAACAAATCCGCGAAGCATTCGCAGACCATAGCAATTTGTGCTACAAACATGCTTGATCCGCAAAACACTGCGAAAGTAAATTTGAGGGAAGCTCCGCGATATGCGGAGGTAGTGTCGAAATAGCTTTCAGGCTTTTCAGCGAATTTTTAACAACTTTGGAGTTACTTTAACCCCAAACAAACATGCAGTGTTGAAAATAGTGAATAATATGAAAAACTAGTTGGCAAACCCGGCTCCGCCCGGGCCTGTCAATAATATATTTGTAATCAGCATGCTCGATTACCCCTTTGTGCCAACTCCCAGTCCTGTAGCCCAAATTTTGCAAAAAATCGATAAAATCGATATCGATCGATACGAAAAGTAGCCTATGACACGCTCCCCGCCCCGAAGTGTATGTGTGCCAAGTTTGGTCCCGATCGGTTCAGAAACGGAATTTTCTATTCGGAACATACGTACATACATACATACATACATACATACATACATACATACATACATACATACAGACAGACATTTAGCTTTATATATAAGAAGACTAGCGACCCTACGGGTCGCTAGCAAGTGGGTAGGGGCAGATACAATATAAGGGCTTAGTTGTGATTATAAATATTTCTAAATAAGTTTTCTATGCCTTTGCTGAGAACATCTTTGCGAAGCATTCTACAAAAGGAGAACTGTTCGAAGAAGCAATAATCTCCAAAAATCACTCAGCATTTCTCGAAATTCCTGCTGCAACCTCAACAATTTCTATAGAAGATCGTCAAGGAAGTAGAACACCTATCGTTTTGGAAATAGAAATATCCACAACAATTGTGTACTACAAAAAACACTTTTGTCTCAGAATCAATCCGACAGCAACGAAATCAATCGTCTAAGAACTTTGTCAGAAAATTTTCTAAATTTTCTAATATTCTAATTTCTTTCGCCAAAGGAATATGAAGCTTACTACATAAGTAGATCTCTCACCGAAAAGCACACGAGCCACCTAGAGACCGTCAATCATAAGGACTGCCCCAAACGTACAAAAATCTGTTTTTCTGCCCGATCAAGTTGCCCTACGTGCCGCTTGAAAACCGTTCAAAAATTATAAGGACTGCCCCAAACGTACAAAAATCTGTTTTTCTGCCCGATCAAGTTGCCCTACGTGCCGCTTACAGACCGTTTAAAAATTATAAGAACTGCCCCAAACGTACAAAAATCTGTTCCCCTGCCCGATCAAGTTGCCCTACGTGCCGCTCGAAGACCGTTCAAAATGCCCTACGTGCCGCTTGAAGACCATTTAAAAATTATAAGGACTGCCCCAAACGTACAAAAATCTGTTTTTCTGCCCGATCAAGTTGCCCTACGTGCCGCTTGAAAACCGTTCAAAAATTATAAGAACTGTCCCAAACGTACAAAAATCTGTTCCCATGCCCGATCAAGTTGCCCTACGTGCCGCTTGAAAACAGTTCAAAAATTATAAGAACTGTCCCGAACGTACAAAAATCTGTTCCCCTGCCCGATCAAGTTGCCCTACGTGCCGCTTGAAAACAGTTCAAAAATTATAAGAACTGTCCCGAACGTACAAAAATCTGTTCCCCTGCCCGATCAAGTTGCCCTACGTGCCGCTCGAAGACCGTTCAAAATGCCCTACGTGCCGCTTGAAGACCATTTAAAAATTATAAGGACTGCCCCAAACGTACAAAAATCTGTTTTTCTGCCCGATCAAGTTGCCCTACGTGCCGCTTGAAAACCGTTCAAAAATTATAAGAACTGTCCCAAACGTACAAAAATCTGTTCCCATGCCCGATCAAGTTGCCCTACGTGCCGCTTGAAAACAGTTCAAAAATTATAAGAACTGTCCCGAACGTACAAAAATCTGTTCCCCTGCCCGATCAAGTTGCCCTACGTGCCGCTCGAAGACCGTTCAAAATGCCCTACGTGCCGCTTGAAGACCATTTAAAAATTATAAGGACTGCCCCAAACGGTCAAAAATCTGTTCCCCTGCCCGATCAAGTTGCCCTACGTGCCGCTTGAAAACAGTTCAAAAATTATAAGAACTGTCCCGAACGTACAAAAATCTGTTCCCCTGCCCGATCAAGTTGCCCTACGTGCCGCTCGAAGACCGTTCAAAATGCCCTACGTGCCGCTTGAAGACCATTTAAAAATTATAAGGACTGCCCCAAACGGTCAAAAATCTGTTCCCCTGCCCGATCAAGTTGCCCTACGTGCCGCTTACAGACCGTTTAAAAATTATAAGAACTGCCCCAAACGTACAAAAATCTGTTCCCCTGCCCGATCAAGTTGCCCTACGTGCCGCTCGAAGACCGTTCAAAATGCCCTACGTGCCGCTTGAAGACCATTTAAAAATTATAAGGACTGCCCCAAACGGTCAAAAATCTGTTCCCCTGCCCGATCAAGTTGCCCTACGTGCCGCTTGAAAACAGTTCAAAAATTATAAGAACTGTCCCGAACGTACAAAAATCTGTTCCCCTGCCCGATCAAGTTGCCCTACGTGCCGCTCGAAGACCGTTCAAAATGCCCTACGTGCCGCTTGAAGACCATTTAAAAATTATAAGGACTGCCCCAAACGGTCAAAAATCTGTTCCCCTGCCCGATCAAGTTGCCCTACGTGCCGCTTACAGACCGTTTAAAAATTATAAGAACTGCCCCAAACGTACAAAAATCTGTTCCCCTGCCCGATCAAGTTGCCCTACGTGCCGCTCGAAGACCGTTCAAAATGCCCTACGTGCCGCTTGAAGACCATTTAAAAATTATAAGGACTGCCCCAAACGTACAAAAATCTGTTTTTCTGCCCGATCAAGTTGCCCTACGTGCCGCTTGAAAACCGTTCAAAAATTATAAGAACTGTCCCAAACGTACAAAAATCTGTTCCCATGCCCGATCAAGTTGCCCTACGTGCCGCTTGAAAACAGTTCAAAAATTATAAGAACTGTCCCGAACGTACAAAAATCTGTTCCCCTGCCCGATCAAGTTGCCCTACGTGCCGCTCGAAGACCGTTCAAAATGCCCTACGTGCCGCTTGAAGACCATTTAAAAATTATAAGGACTGCCCCAAACGGTCAAAAATCTGTTCCCCTGCCCGATCAAGTTGCCCTACGTGCCGCTTGAAAACAGTTCAAAAATTATAAGAACTGTCCCGAACGTACAAAAATCTGTTCCCCTGCCCGATCAAGTTGCCCTACGTGCCGCTCGAAGACCGTTCAAAATGCCCTACGTGCCGCTTGAAGACCATTTAAAAATTATAAGGACTGCCCCAAACGTACAAAAATCTGTTTTTCTGCCCGATCAAGTTGCCCTACGTGCCGCTTGAAAACCGTTCAAAAATTATAAGAACTGTCCCAAACGTACAAAAATCTGTTCCCATGCCCGATCAAGTTGCCCTACGTGCCGCTTGAAAACAGTTCAAAAATTATAAGAACTGTCCCGAACGTACAAAAATCTGTTCCCCTGCCCGATCAAGTTGCCCTACGTGCCGCTTGAAAACCGTTCAAAAATTATAAGAACTGTCCCAAACGTACAAAAATCTGTTCCCATGCCCGATCAAGTTGCCCTACGTGCCGCTTGAAAACAGTTCAAAAATTATAAGAACTGTCCCGAACGTACAAAAATCTGTTCCCCTGCCCGATCAAGTTGCCCTACGTGCCGCTCGAAGACCGTTCAAAATGCCCTACGTGCCGCTTGAAGACCATTTAAAAATTATAAGGACTGCCCCAAACGTACAAAAATCTGTTCCCATGCCCGATCAAGTTGCCCTACGTGCCGCTTGAAAACAGTTCAAAAATTATAAGAACTGTCCCGAACGTACAAAAATCTGTTCCCCTGCCCGATCAAGTTGCCCTACGTGCCGCTCGAAGACCGTTCAAAATGCCCTACGTGCCGCTTGAAGACCATTTAAAAATTATAAGGACTGCCCCAAACGTACAAAAATCTGTTTTTCTGCCCGATCAAGTTGCCCTACGTGCCGCTTGAAAACCGTTCAAAAATTATAAGAACTGTCCCAAACGTACAAAAATCTGTTCCCATGCCCGATCAAGTTGCCCTACGTGCCGCTTGAAAACAGTTCAAAAATTATAAGAACTGTCCCGAACGTACAAAAATCTGTTCCCCTGCCCGATCAAGTTGCCCTACGTGCCGCTCGAAGACCGTTCAAAATGCCCTACGTGCCGCTTGAAGACCATTTAAAAATTATAAGGACTGCCCCAAACGGTCAAAAATCTGTTCCCCTGCCCGATCAAGTTGCCCTACGTGCCGCTTGAAAACAGTTCAAAAATTATAAGAACTGTCCCGAACGTACAAAAATCTGTTCCCCTGCCCGATCAAGTTGCCCTACGTGCCGCTCGAAGACCGTTCAAAATGCCCTACGTGCCGCTTGAAGACCATTTAAAAATTATAAGGACTGCCCCAAACGTACAAAAATCTGTTTTTCTGCCCGATCAAGTTGCCCTACGTGCCGCTTACAGACCGTTTGAAAATTATAAGAACTGCCCCAAACGTGCAAAAATCTGTTCCCCTGCCCGATCAAGTTGCCCTACGTGCCGCTCGAAGACCGTTCAAAATGCCCTACGCGCCGCTCGAAGACCATTTAAAAATTATAAGGACTGCCCCAAACGTACAAAAATCTGTTCCCATGCCCGATCAAGTTGCCCTACGTGCCGCTTGAAAACAGTTCAAAAATTATAAGAACTGTCCCGAACGTACAAAAATCTGTTCCCCTGCCCGATCAAGTTGCCCTACGTGCCGCTCGAAGACCGTTCAAAATGCCCTACGTGCCGCTTGAAGACCATTTAAAAATTATAAGGACTGCCCCAAACGTACAAAAATCTGTTTTTCTGCCCGATCAAGTTGCCCTACGTGCCGTTTGAAAACCGTTCAAAAATTATAAGAAC